ATGGCAACCATTTAGGAATCCTATTTTGAGGCTACTCAAGGACCTGTAATTAATTCATGCTGTAGGGGATTTACAGTGGGGCAAATAAGTCGTGGCTGAAAGATAGGTGCATGAGGGTTTAAGGGATGAAAGGGGGCAGCGTGAGGATTTAAACAGAACATTTAGTGCTCCTCTGCAGCTCGACAAGTTGCTACACTGTCAGCCTTGAAGCGCCATTCTCGAACTATTCTGCCGTTGCACGCCTGTGTTCACCTCATTGGCCTCGCTCGTTCCTCATTTATTTAGTTCAGTTGGCTTATGCGAAGACTAGCCAAGCTTGCTTGGTGATGTCAACGCGAACAATCAAAATAATAATTATTATGCATTTGTACAAAGAGAACGGGAAAGAACCTGTACAAGGAGGAAACTAAGTGCTGAATGTGGAATACCGTTGTGTATGACAAGGTAGAAAAAATGCAGGAAAGAGGAAACATGCGTGAGGGAAAATGTGGGAAAAATGATTTACATACACCAAACGCATGTACTACATTACACCCCCAGCAGAAATGAAGCGGAAAGCAGTTGCCGAAGAATGCCAACCGGAAAAGATCTTGGAAAGGAAAAGAAAGAATGAGCGAAGCGTGCAAAGCTGAAACACAGGAAAGAAACTGTACAAAGAGAAACATTATGCGCTGAATGTGGAATACCATTGTGTATAACAGGTGGACACAAGGTCCGAATAATGGCTATGGAGTCTGATAACATAGTGGAAACCCTTTTTCAATACAGTGATGTAGCCGATCAGGTCTAATAACATGCATGATGAGATAGGCAAAAAGGCGTAGCGTATGACACTGAGCTTTCAAGCTCTCTCGTTTGTTGCCATTTTGCGCTTCCGGTCTCCTCTACGATTGTTTTAACCCTTTACCATCCGACCAAAATTCCCCAGCAGTTCCAAATGTAATATTTCTCACCTTATTCTGAGACAATCTTCGGTTCTAATCATCCAATTTTCACAATCTTGGGCATTCTGGAAAGCTCTCCACGAGCTGCGTACATTGAACTCAAACAGGACACTACCGAGATCACATATCCAGCATCAGGGAGCTTCAAATACTCCCCCTCGCTGAATATACGAGGAAATTCTCTCCTCGCCAGCCAGTTCTCGCTCCTTCATCGTAAACATTCCAATTTTTAGCTTTAGTTTCTTTTCATGCTGCCCATGGGTTCAAAGCATGCCAAAGTGACTCAGCATGTCAGGAGAGGGGAAATTCCCCGCTCAAGGTCAGTCACTCGGAAAGAAATTCGACTTTTGCCGTGGCTGCAATGTCGAGCGTAATATCTTTAGAATGCGACATCGCAGCTCTTCACCGATTGCTGCAATGGAAAGCTGGGCTCTTCGGCTTCTTCCTAGATACATGTACTTAGGTTTTTACATTCCGCCAAGAACCGATCGAGTTATGAATGTTTTAGTGTATGCATGTCCATCGATCTCTAGAGATCGATTCAAGTACGCACGGATGGTAAAAAATACCATACCCATAAGATAATAATTATATGACAGATAATAATCAAGAGAATGAAGTTGAAGACACCACTGCAGCTGTACTTATGTTTGATAAAGATGGTGGTAAAGACACACCTGGCAATATGGCGGTAAACACACGCCTGCCCACACACGCTCTCTAGGCTGCAACGTTCTGGCACAGAGCCTTCTCACCACCACCACCATCAGTTCGCGCCTGGTGCCATATTTATCAACCATAAGTAAAGCTGCAGTGGTGTCTTCAACTTCATTCTCCTGATTCAAGCTCCGTGTGAAGACATCCAAGAAGAAGATTGCCTGATGAGTCCAGCGGGGACGAAACGTACGTCGCAATCGAGCTATGTCGTTGCTGTGTCATCTGGTATGTGCTATGCGCTACTTGATGTACCAGCCTGCTATGCCGGATACCGCCAACCATGCATCGACCAGGCGCCAGGCGCGAACTGATGGTGGCGGTGGTGAGAAGGAGAGCTCTGTGCCAGAACTTTGCAGCCTAGAGAGCGTGTGTGGGCAGGCGTGTGTTTACCGCCATATTGCCAGGTGTGTCATTCTCCCGATTCAAGCCCCGTATGAAGACATCCAAGAAGAAGATTGCCTGATGAGTCCAGCGAGGACGAAACGTACGTCGCAATCGAGCTATGTCGTTGCTGTGTCATCTGCTATGTGGGAATGAGCAAGAACGAAAACGAAGCCAGAATTTATACTGGGGGTAGAGAATCAGCAAGAATATTCTTACGCGCCTTTTTTATTTTTTATTTATTTTTTTACTATTGACACAGCCCTACTGGAAAACAGGTGGAGAACAAAAAGAAACGAGGAAAAGGACAAAACATAGGGGATGTAGGGACGACGTGCTGATGTGCTGGGAGCAACTCAACCGACCAGAGGTCTCGGCGTCAGCGTTGCAACTAGGCATCGAAAAATGTGTGTGTGTGTGGGGGGGGGGGGTTGCACAAGAACAACTGCAAAACAAACAGAAGCTAGAGAATACCACAAAATAATAACTTGGTGCGAAATATTGAGAAGAAAATCATGACGCCCAAAAGTGCTAAATACGAAATTAAGAAAAAGGAAAATACGAAAACCACATAGCGCTAAAGCTGCACCAAATAATAATTTAAATTATAACTAAGCCGGGTGGAAAACCAAGAAATAACAAACAAGACAAACTAAATAATAAATTAATAATAAAAAATTAAATAATAAAAGGTAAATGAAGCCCAATATCATCAGCATAGCCGAACCAAGGAACATGGCCCGTGCCACAGTCAAGAGTTCATCCGTAGAAGTCGGTAGCCATCAGCCAGTGTTGGTGCGTGAGGTACTTCTGGACATCTACTTTGAACGTGTGGAGCCGCTTCAAGCTGAGTGGAGCCCTTACAATTTCGCTTGGCAAGCTGTTCCATACTGAGACTAAAGAAAACGGGAAGGAGCGAGAAGCATAGGCAGGTGCTCTCCTGTCCAGGACTTGCTGCAGCTGCACATGGTGCTGCTGGCCAGGAGGGGGTTGACTCCGGGTGCGCCGAGCTTCTACATGGTTGGCTGGAGGGGGGATCATGGCGGTGAGCTGGGGTGGTCCTGGGATGCACTGGAGCTTGTACAGGTATACCAGCCTAGATACAATCCGGCGGTGGCACAGGCTTTGGAGAAGGGCACCAGGGCCAATAATGGCCATTGCACGTTTCTGTACACGGTCGAGTCGGGCGAGGTGGCTGGATGCAGCTCCCATCCACACAAGGGGAGCATACTCGAGGATGGGTCGCACAAATCCCTTGTACGCACAAAGCCGGCCATGGTAATCTAACACCCGGCAAGCCCGACGGAGAACACCCAGTCTCTGGCAGCCACGTGTCGCAATTGAGTGCAAGTGATCCCGGAATGACAGCTTGGCGCCTCAAGTTCACACTACACTACCATAAGAATGTATGTAGCAGTGGAAAATTCCATATAATTATATTATATATTCGCGCAATGCCCGCTACATTTTGTAGTTTGAGCACTCTGGCGCTAGAGCGTGTCTTACGCTTTTTGGAAGCAACTTCCTTGACGTAAACATATGTTGCGCACAACGACGACGACGACGAACGACAAAGACGCGGTGTCCCGAAGTTGCTCAAGCAGAGCAGGCAAACAATGAACTGCGGGCAAGAAAGAGGCAGAGAGAGAGACAGAGAGAGAGAGAGAGAGAGATATAGGGAGAGAGGGGGGGGGGAGAGAGAATACTGCGACAAACACTGTACACAAAGAACTTCGGGCAAGAAAGAGGCAGAGAGAGAGAGAGAGAAAGAGAAAGAGAGAGAATGAGAGAGAGAGAAAGAGAGAGAGAGGCAGAGAGAGAGAGAGAGAGAGAGAGAGAGAGAGGGGGGGGGGGAGAGAGAGAGAGAGAGAATACTGCGACAAACACTGTACACTATAAAAATTACAACAACATTTGATCAGCCGTATTATCAACAACATCGATGACAATGGCGACAACAATAACAATAATAAGTTCTAGTGGTGAAACGAATATTCGAACATTCGTTCGGTTTGTCACAATCGAATATTCGTTAAGGCACATTCGAGTAGTCGTTACGTCACTTCGAATGCAGTGCCTGTACATACATTCACGCTGAACACGGCACAGTGCAGTGCGTACAGCCTGCCGGTGACTTTGTACTGTATGCATGTACATGTATGTCCATACTGGACTGCCAATGGTGCACATAACATCATGTATGAACTTCGAAGTAGCCTTATGTGGCAGTACAATTTATGTGGCACTACCATTAATTTTGTCATACCTAACTAGAGAGCTTGGAAGCTCAGGGCCCTACGCTATGCTTTTTTGCCTTGATGACCTAGAGTCTAGACAAAAAAAAGCATAGGGATGTTAAATTTCTACTTTTTGTTTTAGACATAAGTCACATAACCTGGGATTCGAACCCGCACTATCGCCCTGCATGCATCCCCCGATACACTTCGCATACTAATTCTTCCAAGTTGCTTCACGATAATTATGATCTTGTATTTGAAAGCCGTATTTGAATATGCATTGTGGCCAGCCGTCTTTGACTGCACGGTACGGTACGGGACAGGTACGGGACAGGTACGGTCGAGGGTAATACGACAACATCTACCGCTTTGATGACGGCAAAAAAAGAATAGGGATGTTATAAATTTTTCAATTTTCCTATTTTTCAGGCATTACCTGGGATTCGAACCCGCACTATCGCCATACATGCATTCTCCCATACACTTCGCATTCATACTCATTCTTCCAAGTTGCTTCACGTTATGATCTTGCGTTTGAAAGCCCTATTTGAATAGTGCGGCCAGCTGTATGTGGCCAGCTGTGTTTCATGGTACGGGACAGATACGGGATAGCGCCAGGCGTGACACAAACACACAAACAAACACCAAATTAAAGCTGTGTGGACCCTGGCTAGCGCCAGACGTTACTGAAGTAACGTCTTCTGCATAGCTACGGGAATAATAATGACAATATCCATCAAATGACTGGGAGGAGGGCATGTGATGTCATCTCTGTTACCAAAAGAATATTCGTTCATTCGTTCGTTAAGCCGAAGAATATTCGGATAGTAGGTTTTGACATTCGTTTCACCACTAATAACAACAAAAACACCACCAACAACAACAACATCTATTGGCGATGGTATAACCGTGAGAATAAAGAATTCAAAACAACAACAACAACAACAACAACAACAACAACAACAACAACAACAACAACAACAACAACAACAACAACAACAACAACAACAACAACAACAACAACAACAACAGCAAAACAACAACAGTGGAAAAAGAAAATACAAAAACATTAGCTGCGACGACTATGACGACTCTAACGCTGGCAACAACATGAGTGCATCACCTGGTCCTATATAGAACACTTTGATATGGGGTGGAAAGGGGGCTTCTGCTCCCGGATTCCCCCTGCCCTCCCCTTGGTTACGACACTGGGGGCACCTACTTGGATAGCATGCGTGGCTGGTACAGACAGGTTTGTCCACTGATAGTGATAGTGACTCTAAATCCGCTTCACTGCAGCTCCAAGGCTTGTTTTTGCCTAGATCTCCAGTGTGTTACCATACTCTGCCATAGCTTCAAGTAGTTCGTCTTTGTTCCATAGCTTGTAGTCAGGATATTGTGAAGCAAGATAGTTGCCAAAACCTGAAAAGAGAGCCCTCTGGTGATTCCACCACATACGCACGTCAAGTTTCTCTTTGACCTGCTTGTAGTATTCTCCACAGGCGCTGCAGTAGTCTTCGAATGACATCAAAAGACGCTCTTCGATGTACGCTTTCACTGCGGAATCGTACTTACAAAGCATTGCAACTTCAATCATTGCCCGACGTTTGAATTCGGAGCTACCAGTGGTCTCGTTACCCAGGTTTTCACGCTTCATTTCGCGGTCTACAATGCCGTAGTAAATATACAGTTCCAATGTCTGCCTACCACCTTTGAATAGGTAGTCAGCAACACGACACAGTCTCTCATAACGGTGATGGTAGACTAAGTACGTTTCTAGTTTGGGTAATTTCTCAAATAGATTTTTCAGTAGAGCAGCTTGGTATGTCTCTACAGAGCCGTATCGAGCCAACTCCATCTCCTTCAGGCTGCTAATGGCATATTTTCGTTCGAACCAGATGACAACAGTAGGACCAGTATACCGTTGAACTAGATCCTTTTCTGTTAAGTTGAGGAACATCCTCTTTGCATCATAGCCAGTAACAAATGGATTGGCATTAAAACCGGGCAGGTCAAAGATATAGGTTTCGTCTGGCTGCTCTTGTTGTTGCATAATTCCGCTGAAAACTGGGAGACAATATAGCAACCTTTGGAGACTGAATATTTTGTCTCCTGGAAAGACATACGTAGTGTACACTGTTGCGAGACTGTTCCAAGTAACCTGCTTCCAATGTGCCACTGACACAGCCGTGTAGAGTATTCTGCAGATGGTCTTGTAGCTGATGTTCATGTGAACGTTCGGGCTCATGTCGTACCGGCGCTGCACAAGGAAAAAAATTGAAGAGACATTAATAATTTAAGGTGATATTGAGACATAGTGCACTCTTCGCAGAGGATCATTCTTGACTACCTATTTCAACTCTACTACTAAAGTATGCACTTGCAGGTTTTGAATTCCAATTGATGTTCGGAACCAGAGAACGTTCTTCGAAACCTATGGAACAACCTTGCATTGTTGTGCATTCAGAGGTACAGTAAAACCTGTCAAGGCGACCTCTCGGATAAGGCGACCACCTGTCCTAAAAGGCCACTGAAACCAGGACCAAGGGATGCTATTTCCAGTCAATTGATCCTGGATAAGGAGACCACATTTTGAAGGTCCCTTGAATGGTCGTCTTGGACAGGTTTCATGGTATACACGCTCAGTTCATTTCTCTGTAGCTTTAGTTCCGCTCTGTGAGGTAGTGATTTTGCTGTTACCATTAGACTGCATTCAGATGGACGTATTCGGCGTCGATGGGTTTGGCGGGAAACATTCCGGGAATACACAAGTGGCATTCACACGCGCATTCCATTCACGCCAGCGACTCCATGCAAAAGTATTATCCATGTTTCACATGCGAAATTAGGTTGTATATTGTAGTGCTGACACAGAGAGAGAGAACAAAATAATTCAAATACACCTGTAGGCCACACCAATTGTAGTTCACAACCGTAGGTACATAGCAAGGCTTTTATTTATTTATTTTATATATTTTTTATATTTATATGGTTAACCCGTTGCGGCCAGGAGATACAAGGATCCTTGATTCTAGCTACCTATATAACACCATGATTGTTTTCACAGCATTTTCCGCCCTGAATGGCCAAGATGAGCCTACAACAATTTTATTAAATCCTGGTTAGAACTTAGAAGGTCACTGGAGCTGTACAACCTTTTCAGGGGCAACTTTGACTGCTTTATGATCTCTTCTAGCGCACGCAGACCAAACAAACTGAATTTCAATTCTCATGGCCGCATCTATTTTTATCTCTTTCTGCATAAATCGGAAGGCTGCGGAACTGCCTTCCACCAAGCCTGACATCCCATGATTCACTTTCTCAATTTCAGCAGCAATATCGCTTGCACAGGAGCTTGTCTAACACTGGGACGCAGTTGGAGCCACGTGAAGTAGTTGGAAAGAAAGGGGAATTTACGAATAGGGTAGACGTAGCTAGGGGGAGACGAACGCAGCTTCGGGTGGTGCCACCTGTTTTAAACCAATTAAGGGGCTGTAAATGAGCAGGGTGCTGGTCAAGAAAAATTGAATGTGCCAGGGTGCACTTGGAAGCATCAAGGTAGTGTTGCAGAGTGGTAGTGGATGCAGCAGCATACAAGTCTAGATTTGATCTGTGGGAGGGGAAAAAGGAGGAGCTTGGTTTTGGTCACATTTGGCTTAAGGTACCAAGTGCTCATCCAGTGAACAATGTCGTTGATACAGGTCTGAACTTTGGGGTACAGGGTGGCGTGAGATGGGAAGGAAGCAAGGACAGTGGTATCATCTGCAAACAAAGAAATATTGGGAATTGCATAGGGGAGGTCATTAACGTATGTGAGGAAGAGCAGGGGACCCAAAATGGAGCCCTGGGGCACTCCGGATGTCACAGACTCGGGGTCAGATAAGGTTCCATTAACTGGGACGCACTGATTTCGGTCCAAGAGGTAGCTAGTTATCCAGGTGAGAAGGGAGCCGGAGAGACCATGGGCACGAAGTTTGGCGATCAGGCCCTTGTGCCACACGGTGTCGAAGGCCTTGGAGAGGTCGAAGAAACAGATGCAGAAGACCTGCCGCTGGTCTTTTAGGGAGCAGAGGTCTTGGATTATGCGGAACAATTGCAGGGATGTGTTGTCCTTACGACGAAAGCCAGATTGTACGGGGTGAAGAAGAGGGGAGAGATGGCCATACAAGCGGTCGTACACTATTCTCTCTAGCAGTTTGGAGACACAGGACAGGAGGGAGATTGGTCGGTAATTAGACGGGTTGTTCTTGTCGCCTTCATTTTGTACACTGGAATGACAGTGGCTGACTTCCATCGTGACGGGAATGTGCCGGAGGAGAGGGAAAGGTTAATAGAATGAAGAGTGGGTGGGCAATTAAGTAGCTCAGTTTCCTGAGGATCTCATTGGTGATCCTATCAGCTCCGGGGGATTTGTTCAGAGGCAGTCTTGCAATATACTTGTGAACAGTCGATGAGGTGATGATCAAGGAGTGCAAAGTAGTTGCTGGTTGAGGTAGGGAGGAAATAGTGGGAATAGGAGCATCGGGGTCAACCTGTAAGCCAGCACTGACGAAGTGGCGGTTCGATGATAGGTTACCTTTTTCCTTTGTCTAGTATATTTGAGACTTCAGTCTTCTACTGCCGCTTTGGCAGTGTCTATTGCCTAATGATGACTCCGAAGCAGAAGCTCGCAGTCCAGGCCTAGGACTAGTAAGAGTTCCTACCGGATCGTCGTGCTGTCCGTGTAGGTAAGTGCTGAAGTAACTAGTTTGTGCCGATATGGAAATTTCGGCCTGTTTTTCCGTGGGTTTGCAAGCACCGACGAGTGCCTTGTTTCATGCCCCGAGTCACGATTTCCCTGTTGGGTCAGGGCGGCCTTCACGAGTTCGGCAGGCTCTGTCGAGTGCCTTGCCAAGGCTCTGCGCTTAGCGCGTAACATTATCAACAGACTGCTTCCGTCACGTCATTGGGTTGGTTGGTTTGTACTTCACTTCGCACATTCAAACGGGATGACGACCCAATAAAATGACGGCGAAGGCTTAGCCTAGAAATGGCTATGGAAGAACATAGTAAAAGCTATGGAAGCACATAGTAAGAGAATAGGATACTAATAACTGCGAGTAAACGGGGGGGGGGGGAGAGAGAAAATACGATGTATCTGTGATACTACGTGAGGATTACTGACTGCACGGGGAGGGAGAGCAGAGCGATCAGCAGCAACTCGAACTACTCCCTACAGGTGTATGGTACACATGCATGCTTAACTAAGGTAGCCGGGTAATTGTGCGGACCTCACCAGGGAGAGCGTTCCACAGCAGAGCACCAGCAACAGAAAATCTTCGCTGACCGCGGCGGCTACGGTTTGCCTGGCTTAGTAGGCCATTTGACTGTTGATGGCGGGTAGGGGTGCCTTGTACTGGGGTCAGGAGCTTGGCGAGCACAGGGCTGGTGCGGGCGCGGATGCACCGTCAGATGGTGATCAATATTTTCTGCCTGTAGAGCTCGCTGGCACGGTACAGGGAGTGAGCAGTGAGCAGCGGCTGCATGGCTGGCCGGGGCGGGTTGCCATCGATACAGCGGATGGCTCTGTTTTGCGCGGTTTGCAGTCGTTTCAGCTGACCCTCTCGCATTGCGGCTGAAAAGCAGCAGGAGCCCTAAAGCAGGTCGCGCATTATGACCGCCTTTGCATACACCTGACGAGAGCGTCTTGATAGGCTTCGGCGTGCCCGCCACAAGGCGCCAATTTTCTTGGCAACCTTGGTGACCACATAGTTTACATGGGTATTGCAAAAGTGTGTCATTTATACTGTCTGGTTTGTCGCGGACCTCTTTTGTAAGTATCCTTTGCAAACCACGAAAAAGACTGCAACACCCACAAGCTACCAATGGATGCCGGAGAGGTGCTTGTTCGACCATTGGGGCCCACCATCTTCGAAGGTATGACCCGGGCGCTGGTAGGATTTCGCAGTTGACGAATGAGCACAGGGAGGGATGGGAGGCGAGGGTTTGTGGGAGATATCGTGGCACGGAGGTTGCGGATGTAGCAGAGATGGCAGGATCTGGAAAAACATTTTACATAGTTACGTTGGTGTTTGTATTTGTTGAAATTTGTAGGGGATGGGTATTTCCGGTAGATGCTGTAGAGATTACTCTTGACTTTAATAGCTGTTTTCAGTGATGGAGTCATCCAGGGGCAGGGTTTATGGCAAGATTTCCGGCGAGGAGGGGAGGATCTTCCTATAATTATAGGTCCAAGGCACCTTCAAGGATGTCAGTGATTGCGGAGATGTAGCGACCTCGCTTCATGACGTCAGCTCACTCACCAGATATACGCATGCGCATGACACATTTCTTCCTCTTTGTTTTAAACTAAACAACAACATAGACAAAGTTGCCCTCTCCTCGGAGTTGTATTTATTAGGCCCCAGGGTGGTATGTCCCTGGATTCATCTGTCTCTCCCGTGAACAGATACGACCTCTGCTATCTTGGGTGCCTAAAGAGACAGCCGTGTCGATGCAGTGGGAGGCAAGGACCTGAGACCAGGGTACATCTGCGAGAAAAACATTCGTGGCACTCCACATGTTATCCGTGGCACTCAGGACTTTGTATCTTTGTGTAGATGGTGGGCTACGACAGGTGCTGGCTGCTGTGGGAGAAGACTTTGAAGAGAAGAACTCAGCCAGCAGGACGGCATGGTCTGATGCGTCAAGTGGAGCCAGGTGTTGAATGTGGTCGAGTTGGTTAGGGATGTTGCACGCGATAAGGTCTAGACAGCTGCCAAGTCCATTCGAGCAGAGGTGGATAGGAAAGGTTACCGATTGGGTCAAATTATAGCATGAGAAGAGGTTGTCAAGACTCAGACCCTGTGCATCCGTTTGGTCAGTTGAGCACCAGCCGGAATACCTACAGTTGAAGTCGCCTCATCACAAGGGCGTCGAGCTTCCTTTGAGTTGATTGCAGGGCTATTTGGAAGCGGTCGAGAAAAGTCGAGAAGTAATCCGTCGAGGGGGAAGGAGCACGGTAGATACATGCTACTGTTAGGTGGGGTGTTGGAAGGTCAGAAGGTGAGACAAGCTTATGTTGAGCGAGTGTAAGCCGAAGTGCTAGCGCTTCCAAGCCCGGTTGCTGAAAATCCGGTAGCTGATCAATGGAAGTACACAGACCTTCACGAACTAAGATTAGAACTCCTCCGTACTCCCTGTGTGGGTCACGGTTCTGTCTATTTTCTAAAACAGGTCGGTCTCGACGAAAGTATTCATAGGGTGGCACGTGGAAAGCTGGTGTGGGAGTTAGCCAGGTCTCTGTAATGCATATTACGCTGAGTGTGTGATTCTCACAGATTTGAATGAGTTCGCCCGACTTGTTTGCAATGGAGCGAGCAGTAAGGACACAGATTGTAAGTCGGTGAGTTGTACAGAATGAGGGAAGAAAGGTGGGGCAAGAGCGCTGAGAGGCGCAGCGGTTGAAGTGGAAGAGGAGGGAGAGAGGTTACGCATTGAAAGCTGGCTTTGTCACTTTGGGGCTGTCCGCAAAACGCCACTTGCGTACTGAGTGGCTTCGGGCCAGAAGGCTCTGTCTAGTACCCGCTCTTCATGTTCTGCAGCCACAGTGACTCTGGCATACGATGTGCCAAGGTATTTCGACTCCATGACGGATTGCTCACAGCAGACAACCTGCCGAGCTCATTCTACGTTATTTATAGGTCAGTTTAACTTCTTTTTTTGTACTGTTTCCATGGTCGTTGGCATGGTATCCCGCGTTACGACTTGTAGCGCCATGCCCAAAGTTTTGGAACTTCATTTGTCGAGCCATTGCTATACTCGTGTCTTGTTATTGAGCAGAAAACAATTAGAATTTGACTTTTTTTTCATGTTTGTTGTTCCAATGTTCGTATTGAACATCGTACAATTGCCAAGGTTGCCCGTACTGCAACCTATGTTGGTTATTTCTGTGGGATATTTCTTGGCACAACCGTTATAATTCATCACTCCGATCGGGCAGCCTGCAATGCTCATTCTACATCATTTTTTTGTTCTCTCTTTTGTCCTGTTTCCATGGACGTTGACATGAGCGACTCGCACCTACAAGGATCCATCTCCTTTCTTCTTTGAAAAGAATCATTTCGGCGGGAATTTACAAAAACGTGATATTCTCCATTTTTCGGAAATAGCTATAGGTCGGTTTTCGCTGATCACGGCTCACATGTGCATGAACTACATAAAACTTGTAAATTCATTTTTTTAAAGGCTCCTACTATAGGCCATACTCACCACACATAGCCACTTGAATGTTTCCTCGTTCATGAGTAATCCGTGAAAATGACGTGATACTTGACACAGTCGGATGATGTCTCTGACGGACAACATAAGCAGTAGAACTGAGCGCCAAACGTCGAAATGAATTGTGTCCAGTGTGCTGAGTTCCACAGGATACTGGTTCTCTGATTCATCGTCTGCATCACATAACGGCATTAGGTCTTCAGTAGGACGTTCGGCCTCTGCAGGCTCACAAACCGCTCCTGGTAGATCCAATGTAGGTCCAGTATTTGACAACTGGGCTGCAGGACACTCTTGTTCCAAAAGCGTATTTGCTACGCACTGAGACTTTCTTTCTTCAGCTCGAGTTAGTGGAGAACGGTATGGCTCAGAAAGTGCCTGCCTCGTTGTATGCTTCTGTCTGCGACTCATTCTGCAAAAGTAGAGCAACGATAGGAGAATAATATCAAAAAAAGGACGCAGTTCACATATTGGCCTCTATTCACTTGACACGGGAAAATGAAAATCATGAAATACAAAGATAATCAACTAATTTATCTCTTCTAAGATACTATTCGAAAAGGTGATGTGGACAATTCCAATGCACCCTAGGCCATGAGTTCCCAATCATCTATGGATCGCAGAATGGCTGGAAAAATTCTTCTGCTTCCAAGCAGCACTTTTAAAGACTGGTTCCTTTTGTTTTTCAATCACGGTATTAGACCATCCCACCATGCAACCATTTGTAATTTTATCCAAGATACACCAGCCAGAGGTAACAACTCATAACCAGCCCCAAGTGGTTGTGGACAGTGGTAAAGCGCCAGAACCGTTTCAGGCACTAAATCAAATGGTTCCAAAATGCTGTGCAAAACCATTCCTATATCCCTGATGATGCCCTCCTGGGTGAAAATTTGTACAATTTGCTATACGTGGTGGTGTAGCCAAGGACTGTTCGTGTGTTCGAAGCACTGAAAACCATTCATTGCAATTATAGACTAGTGCTATTCGAACGCTTTGTCTTTTCACTTTAATGAGTGGCCTGTATAGTCGTGAGTTGCGGGGCAGCCCTCTAGTGCGCCTTCCAGATTCAGGCCATCCAGAGTAATTAATTTTTTTTTTCACGGTTCGCGTGTGACTCGGCTGGAAGCCGGGCTTTCCGCATCCGTAGGAACGCCACCACCCTTCAAGGATCAAGGCGCAGATGCAGCTCCTAAATCGGTGGGAGGTGAGTAGATCAGCTCACCAGCAAGTGGTCAAAGACCGAAAATCCCATTCACTGCATCCATGTTTTCCTCGTGCCAGGCCACAAGTTCCCAATTAACTGTGGGTCGCAGCACAGCTGGAAAAAAATCCTTCCGCTTCCAAGCAGGACTTGAACCTGGTACCCTCTGTTTCTCAATCATGATCTTAGACCATCACACTATGCCTGCCTGCCTGAGTAAATTCGTTGTTTAGGGTCATCCAGAGTACCGTGAGTATAATTATCTTTTTCTTCGACTTTTCTTTAAATTAATGGACACTAAGAAACCCTGCAAGTGAGCAGGTTACATATTATTGCCCTGATGGGGTCCACTCCCAGTGCCAGCATGTGCATGTTATTTATTATTACTATTATTATTTGAGGGATTCCCCAAAGGCCGAAGCCTAAATCAATGGGGTTTCCGAGAATAAATATACGTGTACAATATGTGTACAATAGTTGCAATTTTTAGAAGGAAGTACATATTTTAAAAAAGAAGTTTGGTCTCATTTTGTTTACTTCGCTACAAATCATACTTGAATCCTTTCAGTGATGTCATGTGTTTCTAATCCCACCTTGACTTTTCTTACAATAATTTTTGGTGCTTCAAAATAATTATATAAATATGCAATGCGGAGAAAATAATTCAGGCAGAAAATCGCTGCGTGACGATGTTGTAGTTTGGCCGTCATTTTCATCTTCAATCATCTGCAATCATCTTCAATCATCTGCAATCCGCAATGCTTCTTAGACTAGTATGTACATGTATGTAGTTCTGAAACAGCACCAGCTAGATGCTCCTTTTGCCACCTCGAGAGAAGGTTTGGTCAGAGATTTTCGTCACACTTGTTTGTCACCGACGCCAAGATGACGGCGAGGAAAAATGGCTGCGCTGGATCATCTAAAGTCAGATTTGATCGATTGCCTTGAAGAACAAAAGCTTGGATAGTCGACATACAGAATCTACATACAATTTACTGACAATTAGAAGTCATTATGCATGCACAGTAAAACCTGGTGTAAGCGATCTCTGTGTTTAGCGACCACCTGCTTTAATCAACCGTTTCTCCATGCACGCACAGTTCTACACAGAAACTGCACTGGATACAGCGACCACTTGCCTTGCGAGACCAGCGACCGACTTTTCTTCGTGTGCCAAGTGCCATAGTGGACCTGCACAGCAACGAAAACTAACCAAAAGTGCTATATTGGCTGTCAAGTTTGACAGGAACAAGGTGGAAGTGCGCTCTGATTCATGTGCACGCAGTCAACAGAAGTGACAAGGGACAGTGCAGGATGCATTGCATGCATTTGAGTGAGGCATGCTTTGCTGCAGAAAATACTCTACAGTGTATGCTACACACCTGTTCATATGAGTACATGCAAGTACAATCATGCACATGTATAATTATTATACACAATTCGATATGTCACGAATGTATGGGACCTGGTTCCAAAGACCACCTGGCTTTTGCTTCCACCGTGGGGTGGTCGCTCAAACCGGAATTTACTGTACATGTTGTAATATATTGACTAGTAACTGTCGACGCCACCTCATCTCTCTCTCTCTCTCTCTCTCTCTCTCTCTATTCCTTTCGTGATATGTAACGTATTTACTGTTGATCACTACGTATTATTGCTGTTGAACTTCGTATGATTTATTCACGCTGTGTTCGTGACGTTCTTCCTTTTTTCCAGTATTATTGGGCGTCCACACGATGACGTAGGTCGCCATTTGTTCGTGTCATCTTGGTGCGCGAGCCTTTATCCTTTTTCTCTAGTTCTTTTAGTTTTAGTTCTTCTTGTGCAAAAGCAAGTAATTAGTCCAATGTCAAGTGGGCTGTGAGTGTTGCATGTTGGCCAGTGCAGACGGGGTAGTTCACAACATCTGGTGCCGAAACCCGGGAGTTGTTGAAGAAACGTTTTAGTCTTGTGAGCTGGCCCTGTTGCCAACTGCACGATGCCGTTGAAGCTGGACAATTTTCTTCGATCGTTCAAAAGAAGTGGAGACGACTTCGAACGGTTCTGGGAGAAGTTCCTACAAGTAGTGCTGGCAGATATCCAGAAGTGGGACGATGAGTCGAAACGAATGAAGAACTTTCCCCTGTTCTTGGAGGGAGGTGCGTTTCTAGTATACTCCAGGTTGACTTCTGGTGATCGAGCCGACCAAGATAAAGTGTTGAAAAAATTCAGGCAGTCGTTTTGCCTGACGGAGGCACAGTCCTACTCAGCATTCACGGCGAGGAGACTTCGCATAGATGAGTCGCCCGATGCCTACGTGGCAGATCTACAACGTGTATACGCGTTGTCAGGTCACCCTAATGCTGTTGAGATCCTAGGTGAAGCAGACCTCCAGCTCCAGCATCTAGACGGACCTGTGTCTCTTCCACGCGTGCATGTGAAGGCAAGTGTTGTCGGAGCACTCGCAGCTGCTGGCGCAGACGTACTTCTCGGCGCAGACGTGATTGCTGGCGTCGGAGGTGTCAGCATAGGCTATGACGAAGCAGGTGAGATCAACTCTGCTATGTTCGGACCGGAAAAAGCAGCAGCTGGCGTCACAGCAACAACCGTGTCTGCCGGCGAACACCCCCTACGTCATGTGACCGTTACGAAGGATGATACAGGGATAACGCTGGAAGCCGACGACGGTCAAGTCCGGTGGGATGAAGACACCGAGCAGTGGACCCTCGAGTGGCGCTGGAAGGATGGGCAAGCGCCAACATCGCCGATCGGCTCAGGCGTAGGCCAGTACGCACGCAAGGATCTGTCCGATGAGCAAGAGGCTCAATTCTGTGCAGAAGTGGACTCGTGGGAAGAGAAGGGCTGGCTAGTAGAGCATGATGAAGCCACCCACGGACGCGTTGCAGCCGTCATTCCACTATTGGCGAAGAGCAAGACGCACAAGACCAGCACTCCTGTACGTCTGTGCCTAGACTACCGTGACCTGAATGACTTGATCCAGTCCAGGCCCGGTACAGATGCGCCAGCATGTGCGGAGAAGATCCGAGGTGAAGCCACTACGGCGACACGATGCTGCAAGCGTTGCAGGAGCGCTGACTAGTATCTGCTGCCGGTGGGGTCCGCCCGATGAGATCCGTATGGACAACGGGACCGAGTTCCAGAATGCTGTTGTCCGGGCCCTCCTCACCCAGTTTGGCGTGCGCGTGAAGACAGGAGCAGTTCGCCACCCACAGTCGCAAGGCAGCGTGGAGCGCATGAATCGCACTCTCATAACGCTGATGCGGAAAGTGCTGGATCAGGCGTCGGACTGGAAGCAGGAGCTGGATCTCCTGCTGTTCTACTACCGATCCCGGCCGCATTCCACGACGACAGTATCGCCTATGCTCGCGATATGTGGCTGGAAGCCCCGGTCATTGGTTGTGGAACTGCGCCCAGAGGCCCTTGTGCCGAGCGAATGGGTTGAAAAGCTGAATGAATCAGCTGCCCGTGTACGCGGTGTTGTGGAGACAGAGTTGTCTGCGTCAAGCCCTCCACAACCACCCAGCAGCACGCAATCACCCTAAGTTCCCGGTGATGCATCACTGTTCCGACGCCCCGGGCGTCACCAGAAGCTGTTCCCACCATTTGAGCGTGGCTGAAAGGTGGAGAAGATTGTGTCACCATCTACCGTTGTGATCAGTCATGCCAATGGCGCTGAGAAAGTGGTCAACATTGACCTGCTGAAGCTAGACTCAGCTCTTGTAATACTGGACTCAAAGCATGTCCACAGCGTCCAGCCAAACCCTGCCGAGAGTGATAGGGAGAGGGATGCAAGTGATGGCGGAGCCGTTGGCCTGAAATTTGATGGCGGAGGCGGAGACAGTGATTCAGTCCCACGCTATGATCTCCGTGCCCCAGCTAGCCGTCGACGCCCAATGCGATATGGTTTGTTTTTATTTGACATTATCTTTCTTTACGGAGTTGTTGTTGCTGTTCATTTTGCTACTCTTTCTTTTTCCCTCCCCTAATTTGTATTTATCGCCGTGGTTGGCAATCACCCACTCTCTTAACATTGGCCGGTGTTTCCACCGAGCTTTGAGATGTTCTAATAAAAATAAATCTGCAAACTTTTTAAAAAACATTTTTACATTATTTTCATTGCATGAGTAGAAATGATACAATAAAGAAATTTGGAGAGAGACATATCCGGACATCGTTTCCACCCTAGCTTTCTTCGAAGTGTGCACATGATTGTATTGCGGGATTGCTTTCCACCAATCTGCTTACCAAGACAGAACAATTTATTTTGGCAATAAAGAGAGAGACTGCTTTCCTTTGGAGTTTGCAGTCTTGATAAAACTAATGTGTTGGATCACAATCGGCTGCCTACAACCTAGCCCACTAGGAGTCTGAAATTCAAATTCCGCCGGCATAATTATCAGGAATTGCTTACCTTCTGCCGTCTCTGTCACCAACTCGCTGCAGTACACAAGCAATTCTGCACCCGCAACACACGAAAAACGACTCACGCCAAACGACAGCCTAACACAAACAAAAAAATCTGTGCATCCTTTTTTATATCTCACGCGCAGCTGAGCGTGGCTGTATGATCAGTGTAGACTGTAGTCATGGTAGCTTCATGCAGTGATCGATCATGCACGGCGCACGAGTGGAGAGCTCTGCATGCTCAGGCTGCTGGACGTGCAGGACTCGACTGTGCTGTGATCTATCATAGTGCAATCATGTACAGTGAAACCTGGTTAGGAAGAACACTGATAAGACAAATGTTTGCCTAAGAAGAACTATTATTCGTAACTGTATTGGATAAAACCCTGTGTATTCACTGGGTAAAACATATGGATAAGAAGAACTCCCGTTATTGCGAACAAATATCATCGGTCCCTTGATGTTCGTCCTAAAGAGGTTTGACTGTACTTGAATCGCACGACCATGTCTTCTACTCTACTATTTGAAGTACACTGTATACTGTACTAGTACAGTAGTACTAGCGAGATGAGCCACTTCAACATACGAGTTAATTCCCAGCGGTACTGATGAAGGTAACCAACGTGTAACAAAATTGAAGCAGTTGCTCAGGTTTGTAGATGAAATTCAAGTTTTCTTGACCAGTACTAGTTTACGTGACAACATCAACAACAAACAAGTTAACTAGTGGAGGTAACCAACGTGTAGCCGGGTTGTTCCGACGTGGTGAAGGCCTACCCATGGTCACGTCGGGACATCACCAACCCCGTCTATAGAGAGCACCTTCTCGCGACAGTGTCATGGTGGTGGCAGTAACTGTTGACAGCTGACGAGCTGAGAGACGGACGCCATGGGTAGAAGTTGGTAGAAAAGAAGTTGAGGTTCAAGTAGCTACATGACTACAAGGACGACATTCAGGAGCGATCAAAGAATACACGACGGACGAAAGGAGTAGTCTCTAACCCCCTAGCATAATGAGGGTCAGAACCGGGTTCAACAACCATATGGTTCAAATGGTCCGCAGGGCCCGGGGCTCTGCCAACCGCGGAAGGTTGTAGTAAGGTCACCTTTTCTGAACACAGTGAGTGTCCTCCACCTTGTTTCATGCTGTCAATCCAACAATATGCGTAGTAGCTACATGTACATGATGTACAGCTGTATGATCGGTGTAGTTGCATGCAGTCATCGATCATGTATTGTGCCTGCACGTGGAGAGCCCTGCTGCTGGGCGTGCATGACTGTACTGTACTCTACTGTACTCTATCATTACTGAACTTGAAGTACAATGTACATACTTGAATGGCACGACCATGTCGCTATGGCCTTATCTCTTTTTCTGTCACCAGTTAATCTTTTATACGGTATCGAATTACAATTGTAGGCTTCAAGACGCATTTGTAGCCTCGAAAATGGTCGAATTGGAAGCAATGTTATTGAAGATGCATTTCGATCTTTCCTACAATGCATCTCTTTCTTAATGAATGAATAGCGGCACATGAGTACTGTAGAGGCTATCCAATGGCTACGACCCCCAGGAAAGGTCTCTGTGTGCATTTATTCCTGATGAATTGCAATTACAAGTGGTAGAAATAGACTAGGAGTTGAATCGATGAATATTAGCACCATCCTAGCGTTGAAGTCGCGTTGTAAGTGCTCGCAGATCAATATGAACTAAAGACACTACATGTTCGGGGCATTTACTCAATCAGTTGTGTTCAAGTAAGTACACATAATATCAATAGTGGGCTACTCTTGGGATGCTAGCCTAGGAGGTGCTTTTTCTATAGCCATAAATGCATAGAATTTTTTGTTAGCTCCATATGGGCCATATGTAGGCTTGGATATTGCCAACTTTGATCCTAGAGGGTGGTGGCGTTCCCACGGCGGATGCGGAAAACTCGCCTTCTAGCCGAGTCTCACGCGAACCGTGAAATTTATTTTTAAATTTTTTATTTTTATTGCCAACTAGGGTTTTTTATTGGCAGGAGAAACTGGGAAGTACAAAACCAATTTTGAAGAGGCCAAATCCTAGGATTTTGAGAATTCTGGACACCTTTCTTCGAGAGGGCCTGTTACAGAAAAAGTAAAGCCCTTGTGCTGGTTAAACTTGGCAGACATCATCTCTGATGAACACAGAATGCAGACTCCAACAGGTGTTTGAAGAAAGAACTTCACTTTGTAAGGTGTGATCTACCCTTTCCCAAAAATTGTCAAAAATCCTATAATACGGTATAGGATTGGGCAGACAAAGAGATAAGTAAGTGGCTAGAGTATGGGTGTGAGAGGTGGCGATGCGCATGCCTTTGACTCATCCAAAAATAAGTACACAATACAAAATAAAGTAAGCAACACGTGTAACGTGTAAGTGGTAGCACACATCATGAGAAGTACCTGCGTGCGTGTGTGTGTATATGTGTGTATGCGTGTGTAATACCCTGACTGAGCGACGCTGTACTACTACAGCACTACGCTTGGAGGTACACTCGACACCACTTATTGTGAACTCGTATTATAGGCGAAATTCATGATAATTATTATAATAGCGAACCATTGATTAGACGATCTCACACTTGTACTCTTGCCTGATTCCAAACTTCTCGCTGGTATCTACAACAATTACGATTATTGTATTATCAGCACTTCCGCGGCAGTGTCAACTAAGCTCGCGGGAAAGAAGCCAGTCAACATTGTTCAACTTTGTAGATCTAAAACGTACTCTCCAAATTCGCTGGTAAAAACGCACACGCCGGTAATGGAGCAATGAATCCTGACCTTAGCAGTGACACAGTCAACTGCAGCACTTTCAGTCGCCTCTGATATTATACATGATGCAGCCCACAGAGTGGTACAGGAAGTGCCTCAGGCCTCGACGGCAAAAGCACAAAATACAGTGTGACTCCACGTCAGGGTCAAGTGCTTTACTTGGTTTGACGCTGCGCCCTGCGTGAAACTTGACTCTCCTCAAATGTTTGGAGAAGATCCTTCCTCGAGGGTTTGGAATGCTGCTTCGGAGCACGAGCACCCAACCCTGCACGATGACTTGACCATGATGGTGGACGGAGAGTCCCTGAACCTACTGTCTGTTGCCTCTGCACACCCCAGCTCTATTGCCGCCGCATACCGCTTTGTCAGCTTCGCATCCTTACGCCGATGCAGAGTGTACAGCGCCCTCATGCGCGCGTCCCCACTCGATGGGATCGCGACAGTAGGGCGTCTAACAGTAGATCGAAGTACACCTGGGCGCCAGACTTGACGGCGTCTGTGACAATAGGGCGTTGTACTGTAAGGCGCGAGAACATTTTGCCGCGCAGACAGTAAGGCGTATGGACAACACGTCCCCGAGACAGAATGTCACCACTACCACAGGGCGTCCATTGCGTTTTGATTAATTTTTTTCAATCTTCAAGTTTGCTGTGAATACAATGTAAGTTTTATCGAATTATTCTCGAAAGTAATGGTGGTCAGAAGTAGCGATAAATAATTCAACATCGCACAATACGCAAAGCAAAAATAATCGTTGATATGAAGGAAGCTTCTTCAGTACGCCTTCAAGTTGAAGGCCACTCCTCTGAGGAACTGTAACGGGTCTCGTTGCTCAAAGGTACTCGCTAGAGTTGCCAATCGCTTGTCCACCTCCACATACTTCTTCTTCCTTGGTGGTGGTACAAGCCGTTCGCGCTGGATAGATTTCTTAAGGGAAGATGCCTTAGGTAACGAGGATAGGCAATCAGCAGACAGATCATTCGTTGCAGCTCTCAGAACGGCACTAGTTGGCTCAATTGTCGTTCTATAATAATCTTTATTAAAGGATCTCCCAGAGGCGATGGCCTGTCGAGGGGATCTCCTGATGCAAATCATGCAATAGAAATATACAGTGAGGAAAACTACACGTGTTACAGTATATGCTACATAATGAGCAATAAACACAGGGCTGGGTTGTTAAAAATAAAACAGTTAATTTAAATGTCCAGGGATATACCACTACAGTCAAATTTAAAACTTTTCACGTGCAAGCGATATTGCTGGTGAAATTTAGAAAGTGATTCTTGGGATGTCAGCCTTGGTGGAAGGCAGTTCCACAGCTTTCCGATTTTATGCAGAAAGAGAGAGGAAGAGATGCGGCCATGAGAATTGAAAATCAGTTTGTTTGGTCGGCGTGCGCTAGAAGAGATATTGATGTCAAAGCGGGATAGATAATCTGGGTGCCAATGGATATACTTGAACAAAACGGTGATGGAAATGTAAGTGCGTCGGAAGTGAAGGGATTCCAAATTACACAGCCTATTTAAATTATTCTTCGATTCATAGCGATCAAAATCAATCTTCGCAGACCGCAGCAGGCATCTGTAGATATTTGCTTGTAAAATGTCAAGCGATTCTAGCTGGCTAGCAGTAAGTCTGAAGCACCAGACAGGGATAGCGTACTCTACTGTGGGTCGTACATATGACTTGTAGAGTAGGGCAATATGTGCATGCGATAGATGACGGCCCATAAAGCATAACAAATTTACACGTTGGCGAAACTTTTTGAACACAGTAGTGAAATGGTCTTGGAATTTAAGATTAGTGCTGATCTCTACACCTAGATGGATTACGGTACTTTTAACATTGAGTGGTACGTTGTCCATTTGGACAGACGAAGAGGGTGGAGGAGCATAGTTGGAGAACATGGTGGTCTTGGCCGCAGAAAACTCCCCGTGAATGCCTCTAGCCCAGCGCTGGCAGCTTGTTAAATCCAACTGGAAATTGGCCAGATTCTCACCAACAGGTAATCCGATGTTATGAGTGTTGAGCAGTGTAACATCATCAGCAAATAGATAAGGGGCGCTGTGGGTCAATGTGTCGAGAAGGGTATTGATGTAGGTTAAAAACAGCAGGGGTGCAAGATGTGAGCCTTGAGGGACACCACAATTCAAAAGATATTGGGGAGAGATCGTCTCCTTAATCTTGACAGCTATCGTTGCGGCCCTTGTCCGTAGCTCCTCCTTGGCTTTCTCGACTGTGACACGCGTCGCATCCGGTGGGTGGCAGTGGGGAACGGTCT